GTTTATTTGTGGGTTTCTAGCATCACACTATATATTCTGCGTATTACTGCCTGTTAGGTGTTTGGCAAATGCTCTTCCCATTATTTTGCTTGTGTTTTAACTTGTCTATAATTCATCTTATAGTCATTAATTCAACAAATATTTACTAAGAATCTACTCCATGCAGTGAACAAACCAAATATTCTGGTACAAAAGTTTAATTTTTGCACAAATTTATCAGCATTTTGCTTTGTTGCTTCTGGGTTTTAGGTTTTCCTTAGGAATTCCTATGCTACTCCACAATTATAGAAGAAATACTCCTAAAATGTTACCTAAAATTTCTATAAGTTGTAAAATATACTGGGCATTTTAATTCATCAGAATCAATCCCATGTATGGTATGAAGTTTGTCCTTAGTTTTTCTCCCAAGTAGAAACAATGTACAAAATCATGCCTTAAATAATCTATCTTCCTGTCTCTGGTATGAAATACGATCTTCACCATTGCCCATAGTCTCATAAATAATGGGTGAGTTTGGTATTTTTTTCCCCACTGATTCTTTCCCATTTATAGGTCTATCTTAATTACTATGTATGTCTGTCAGTAGTCCTCTTTTAATTACTATAATTCATAGGCCTTGATTCACTAACAGAAAAAGGACCCTATTGTTTTTTCCATACAGGGTGGGGCAAGAGTAAGTTTATAGTTGTTCATATGGAAAATACAATAATTAATAAGTAATACAAGAATAAACTCTGGCCCTCACTGATGTGGCTCAGTTAGCTGGGCATTGTTCTGCAAAAGTGAAAGGTCGCTGGTTCAATTCCTGGTCAGGGCACATGCCTGTATTGCGGGTTCACCTAAGTCAGAGCGCATTCAAGAGGCAACCGATTGATGTTTCTCTCTCACATTGATGTTTCTTTCTCTCTCTCCCTTCTCGTCACTCAGCAAATAAATGAATAAAATCTTTTTAAAAAGAAAAAAAATAAACTATTTTGTGTACTCACAAATATAAGCCTACTTTTGCCCCTCCCTGTATTTTTTGGGTGGTTTTGAGCATTTTCACCAATGAGCCATGGAATCAGTTTGTTACATGCCATAAAGAATCTCATTGAAATTTTGATTTGAAAATTACTGAATATATATATTAATTTGTGGAGAATTGACTTTAACAATAATAACCAAAAACAGGAGAAGTCTCCATTTATTGAGCTCTTTTTCATCTACTCTATAGTTAACTCTACAGTAAAATCTCAGTTTCACTTATATAGGTCTTGAACATTTGTTGGTACATTTATTTACAAGAAATGTGTCTTTACTTGTTATTGCTGTTGTAAATAATAGCACTTTTTCCCATTATATTTGATAAACAGTTACTGCCTGTGTAAGAAAGCTATTGTTCTAGGATATTAACCTAATACCCAGGGACAAAAGCCATTACTAGTTGTGGGTAGGGGGTGGGAAAGGAAGGCAGGTGGAGAACTTGGAGAGATTCAGAGAGGGCAGCATGAAGTTTAAGATACCTGTACCCTGGACTTGGCTGAATGGAGTGAGGTGTAGCAGGGGAAGACAAAGTAATCTGAGTCATTTAGGGAAAGTGTTGTGTTTGGAACTTTGGAGGGTACTGAAAAAATGGCAGCAGGGCGTGTGTAAGCAGAGAGGGGACATTTAGCTAAGAGCACACAAGTGTCCCTGAGACTGAAGCAGGGCATGAAAGAGGCTGAGCAGTTTCTGCTTGTCCCAGTGGTGAATACAGAAGTGTTGAGAGTCAACCAGCGAAGAGACCTGGAGTGAAGACCAAAGGAGGGCAGTGCCTACAGGCTTGCAGGGCAAGACCATGGCAGGAGCCACAGGCCTTCGCAGCACGTGCCAGTGCGCACTCAAAGGCCGATGAGGCCAGTTACACCTGGAGAGGAGGAGTGGCGAAAGAGGCCAACGACCGAAGGCCCAATCACATGACCTGCGCTGGGGAATGCGCAGAAGCGATGTCACCCTCACTGCCAGGAGGGGGCATAAGCTTCCCTGCCACATGATGCCAGTCTGGGGATGAGAAAGGAGGAAAAGCTCCCCATAAAAATAAGTTTGATGACATCTATTTTCAACAATATTTTGGGAAAGAAGCATTCTCATATAACATTAATGGGAGTAAATTATTATAAGCTCTTTGGATGGACATTTATAACTAAGGGAAATGTAAAATATGTATAGCTTTTGATCCAACAATTCCACTTCTAGGCATTTCTAGTAGGAGATGTACAAGATGCAAGAATGTACATTCAAGCCTGTTTATTGTAGCACAATTTATAACAGTAAAAGGCTAGACAACTTTGATGTCCATTAATAAATTACATACATGCGTACAATGAACTATTAGTAAACCATTTTTAAAATGAAACCCATCACGCATCATTGATATGGAAAAAAATCCCTAAAATTATAAAGAAAACAACAAGGTGAATAATAATAGAGATTTATCTCATATTTGTTTCTGAAAGGCCTTACATATATTGGGGAGCTTATGTAACAAAAAAATCCCTAGAGGTATATATAAAACATTGTTAACAGTAGTTATTTCTTCAGGGTGGGCTTGGTGATATAAGGGGGAGGAGAAAGGAAATATGGTTGTCTTTTTAACTGAACTGTTGGAAAAACCACAAACATTACATTATTAAAAATGATTTTTAAAACTACTAGTAAGAAATAATAATAATAATAATGCCTTCATAAAGAGTTTGTTAATCAGGACAGCTGATCTTCAGCCAGCCCTGGGAAACACCATTCCTGGGAACACCCACAGTCAGAGGGACGTTAATAAGGTCAGGGCAAATGAGCTGAAAGTCGGACATCACTCTCCCGAGTGAGACAGAAGTCGGAGCAACTGTCCCTCCCAGGAATTAAGCTCTCACCGCCTTTTCTGAGGCAGTCAGAGTATAAAAGTCATGCCCACGTCCAAGCTGGAATCTGTCTGGGGTTCTGCAACAAGATTCTTTTGATAAATTCATAAATAAGTAACAGGAAATGGACCCAGTTTCTCTGAGTTAACATTTTATAAGCTCTAGTTTAGTTTTTTTTTTCTAATTTACATTAAAGTTATTGTTTCCAGGACATGTGTAGAAGAGTGCAGAATTTCTTGATACTAATAGACAACAATAACAACAAAATTAGGTTTGTGATCTGAGAAAGCTACATTTTCTTTACTAATGTCCTTAATAAAACAGGGGACTGGGTGATGGGTAAGAAAGACCCCTGCCAATTCCTAGAATCAGTGAGTCACTGCATCTGGTTTAGTTATTGAATTTTGTAGAATTTTTCCTAGATTCAGATTCCATTTGTCATTAAACTGAAATTGGCAGGTAGTCATATGTCACTCTTTATAGCACTTTTATATAGCACTATAAATTTTGAGTTGGTTGTTCAGATTTACTAAGGTAGAGACAAAGCTCTTAAGCAGCAAATTCTTCACATGTTTTAAATTTTTCTTCTATTAAGTGTTGAAATAGATCTTACTTTAGAGACAGATTTACATTTCAAAATTATGTGTGACCTAAGGAAAATATTTCATGACATTTAAGAACCAAAATCAAAGAACCATTTACTATAAATAAGTTTCCTGAGGAATTGTCTAAATATTTTAAACTATGTAAACAAAAATATCAAAACTTAGTAGTTAAGGGATAAAATCTCGGCATCAGTTATTTTTTTCCTCAGGCATGTTAGTTCATTCCCATTATCCTACAAGTCATTCTATACAGAGCTTCCCAGTACCTCTGCCCTTCTTATTATGAGATACTCATCCCAACTCTATTCCAGCCTCGCCCCAGCAGGCAGACCTCCCTGGACCTCTCACGCTCACTGCCGTCCCTGTTTCCATCTCATATGTCCTTATTGTCACCTCCCTGCAGGACCCATCGCTCACAGGAGCCATGGGCGTTAGCTGTCTGTCTGTCGTTCCTGCACTGGCCAGTTTGCTCTTGAGAGATGGCAGAGGGAAGGGGAAGCAATGGGAAGGGAGGAAGAGGGAGGGAAAAAGCAGAGGATTAGGAATAAATATGTTGGTTGCTAGTTTGCCATCCACATTCAGTTTTTTCGTTCTCCCACTTAAAACCCTGCCCAGAATAATTTCTTCATATTTGGAGAAAAAAGAATCCCCTGAATGATGACAAGTGACATAATGTGTGCTAACCTGATCTCTGATGAGAAACTGATTTATCACCTACATTTCAGAGACCTGGGAAAGCTGGCAGAGAGGGATAAATGAGTTTCAGAGCAGATAATGCATTTCTGAGGTGCATTTCAGAAGCTCCCCTCCAAGCCATAAATAAAGGGAGGTTGACTGCAGCCTGACACAGGTAACCAGGAAAAAACATCATGCCCACCCAGGACCACCAAGCAACACCCTCGTCACAATGTCTCAGGTGGATGACCAGATATTCTAAAGAGAGGTTTTCCAAACTGACTCGTCCAAGAGCGCATCAGGAAAAAAAATTTTTTTTTTTTTAATTTAAAGGGCAGGTCAGAACACAAGAGCTTGTAAACAATTATTCGGGGGGAGGGAGGGAGGGGAACTATTTATCTTAGTGAATTTGAGGGGTGGAAAAGTATAATACATCCTTCAGTAAAGTTAGCAGGAAGATTGAATTTAGTTTCAAAATACACCACCCCCAAGACTGCACTTCCCACCTCGAACCATTTACTAGCAACCCCCAAAGTCAAAAGGAGCCAGGCCCCTGGTGTCATGTTTGACAGATATTTAACCATTTAATCCTATTCCGCTGTTTGAATATGGACATGAGGGTAAAATGGTGACGAGGGAAAACCCAGGAGGGCCTAGAGGAACAGGGACTGAAAGAAGGCCCAAGGCAGCAAACAAGAGGTCACTCAGCTTTTGCTGGAGAAGCCCCACCCACCCACAGATCTTCAACTAAAGGAATTTCTTCCCTGGCAGGAAAAAATCCTGCCAAGGAACAGCATTTATCTTTGGACATTTCATAGCAAAAGTAAAGCCACAGGTTGACACTTACATTTCATTTGCTTGAAGATGGACTTGTTAGGTTCAAGCCAGTGCTGGGGAGAAAAAAAGAGATTGTGGGTCAAATGGCTGGACCATATGATGCATACTTAATAACTAAAAGGAATTTAATGAAGATATTCTTTTTCCAAAGTACTGCCTTGGTTCCTATAGATATTCCTCAGGGTACCACCTCTGTTGATCGACACGAACAATTCAGCAATAATAATACCACAGGCAAGGGTATAAATTACAGAGAATTAATACTTTCTGAGTAGTATTTGAGTCATATAGTTGCTAGGAGTGAAGGACAAAAGAGAGAACATGTACTTAAATGGGATGTTCTGGTGGCTCTAGTTGACTCCTAGGAGATTCTTTGAGCTCCACTGCCCTGGGCAAGCCGCAGATGGCTAAAGACTTGGACATATATGACCTAAAGAGCCACACCAGAGACAGCGTCAGCACCCAGCCCCCCTTCCCTTAGGTGCCCTCCTCTCAGGTTATAGTGAGCCACACCAGTATTAGCCCCATCACACACGAAGCCAAGCCTTCCTCTGCCAAGGGCAGGGACAAATGATTTTAAATATCTCATTTCAGCCCTGGCTGGTGCAGCTCAGTGGACAGTCTGCAAACCAAAGGGTAGTAGGATCAATTCCCAGTCAGGGTACATGGCTGGGTTACAGGCCAGGTCCCCAGTTGGGACACACAAGAGGCAACCACACATTGATGTTTCTCTCCCTCTGTTTCTCCCTCCCTTTCCTTCTGTCTAAAAAAAATCAATAAATAAAATCCTTTTTAAAAAAAATATAGCCTTTATAAAAAGTTAAATAAAAATAAATATCTCATTTCAGAGACCTGAGATCATCGAGAAGGAAAATCACCTCCATCACAAAACTCAAAGACCTGCGTAGACCAGAACCATGTTACAGACAGGCATTTGAAGCAGACACCATGCTGGCCTCAACGGCCAGCTCTCTCTCCACACTATGTGTGAAGGTCACTGCACCATGTTGAGATCAGGGCAGTTTTTTATATCACATGGTGTCCCTGAAGCCACTTAGGGAACATCAGGAAGCATCACTTTATATGCCTACAGTTCATAAAGACAGGAAGAGGGCTGCCATTATGTATCCACCAACAGGTCTGGGAGTCCTCACTCATGGGTCACTCCTGCCCTGCTTGGTACTGGAGAGGAAAGAAGAGGAGGAAACTTACCAGTTGAGAACTTACACTTCACTCTATCTCATGTGTCATCCAAGAAGCCTCAAGGTTCTGTATTATCACTACTGCTTGATATAATGCATAACCATAAAGTTTAATAAGAGTTTGCTGAGTGTTTGCTAAGTGCCAGGTGCTACTCCAGGAGTCTCCATGGACCATCACTCTCACCACATTTACAGATGAGAAATCTAGGGCTCAAGATGTTAAATGGTGAAGCCAACGCTCAGTGGAATTCCAGAGCACAGTCCTTAATGAGGGCTATGCAGCCTCCCAATGAATCGGTTCACTCTAGTAAGTATTATTATCTGCATTGAACATTCATTCTTTCACCAGAAACTGAAAAATTGAATGGTCAAATCATTCATTTCCAACCTGGAGCGTCAGGGCTCTGGAGTCTTCAAAAACAAGAATGGGGGTCTTTTCATTATTTCAGCATCACAAAGGATCTAACAGAAAATCACCCATTCCCTCCTGACACATAGCACAAACTAAAAATACAACCAAAATTATATCAATTTATTTTGGGACCCCTGGTTATCTCTTTTCCCTCCCCAAGTTTTTTTATTGCAGTAAAATACACACAGCATTAATTCACCATCCTAACCATTCTAAAGTGTACAATTTAGTGCTCCCGAATCTCCTCATAATGGTGTGCTACCATCGCCACCATCCATCTGCAGAACTCTTCCATCTTGTAGAATTTAAACTCTATACCGATGAAACAATAACACTCCTTTTCCCCCCTTCCTCCCAACCCCTGGAAATTAACATGCTACTTTTGATTATCTCCTTCTAATCAGATATTACATTTGTCCTTTACACAGCTATGATGGAAGAGTGGAAAATGTGTTGTTACCCATGTACTGGCTCTATAACCTTATGCAAAAATGTTTAATCTCTGTGTCTCAATTTCAACAACTATAAAGCGGGAATAGTAATAGTACTTACTGTACCTCATAGGGTTGTTGTAAGGATTTTAAAAGTTAATAAACATAAGACACTTGAATGGTGGCTGGCACATGGAAAATACTCAATAAGTGCTTGTTTGCTGATGCTGTTGTTAGTACTTAAGTATAGTGTAACTGGTAGACCACATCTTTCAATACATGGGACTCACAGAGAATAATGAAAAGGGTGTCTGGTGATGAAATTACTTTTCTAGAAATAAATTGAATAACTTGGAACTAAGGCGAGAAAACAAATAACAGCAGCCAGAGATCAATACCTATTATTATTATTTCACAGAGGAAAATCACCAGTTATTTTGCCAAGAAAGTCTGAAATATAAACATGTATTCTGAACTTTCCTTGCCTGGCATCCTTTGAACTCCTCAGCTCTTCTCAGCCTAACTTCAACCTGCCCACTTTTCTCTGCCCTCATGGATGACAAGTAAGTTTCATTTTGCGTGCTCACGCCAGTTGGGCAGCGGGGATCTCCCAGGGCCGTGAGGAGGGCTCGAAGACTGCACGGAGGCCCTTGAGAATGAAGGCCACGGACGTCTGCCACAGAGGGGGGCAAACACCACTCAGACACTAAGAAAGCCGTAAGCTAAGAAAGTTTGGGAACCTCGGAAGCATGGTAGCATACAATTCATGTGCTTTATTTTTTAAATAAAAAGTTTAAAACTATCACATATTATAAAAGAATACATAATGAGTAGCAAAATATATTTTTAAAATTCTGAAGTGATATACCTTAAACTGATAAAAGTGAGGGTGGGTAACAGAGGCAGAATAAGAATTTTAGGGGTGTTGATCAAAGGAAGTGACTTTTCTGTAATACTCTCTGTATTTCAGAATTACTGAATTACAGAATTCTATAATTCAAACTTTTACATGTATTGGTGCATTCTATGAGTAATTTAAAAATCAATTTAAAAAGAAAGAAAAATAAGTTCTGCTCAGAGGATAAAGGTGGATTTCATGTCATTTAGACTCCAGAAGAATTCCATTCATTACAGCCAGATGCCAATTCCAGCTAAGCATCCAGGGCTGACACCAGTCTGACTCAGAAGCCAGCGGGACTGGACTTGAATCCCAGCTCTGCCACTTACTGGTGGTGTGACCTATAACAAGTTCCTCTGTTTCCTCACATACAGCATCATGTGAAGTTTAAACGGTTAATTCATTAGGAAGGCTTGAGAATGTCAAGCTTGAAGCATCATGAATGCTCCATAAACACCAGCTGGCCCCATTCTTCACACTCACTGACAGAGCCCCCTAAGCTGGTACACTGGCCCCTCTTGATGAGACCACCATAGTCATTCTCATCCTCTCTCACTCCCCACCCCACCTTCCCTCTGCTTTACATGAACAGAGAATTCTCCCTCTTTTTATTCTTCCTTTTAGAGTAACAAGCTGGACAATGAAGTCAAGTCTGAAAGAAAAATAACCACCATGATGTACTTGGTAATTAGATATAAGGCTTAGTACATTTATTGCATTTCCAGTTTTCTTTCACTTGCTACCTGGAATAGATGCTATTTTGTTTTCTTACTGAAAACTGATATTCCCTGAGAGAGGCAGAAAAGAAAGCCTACCAACAAAAATCTGAATTTGTGCTTGGTTTGCTGTGAACAAAACCTTCACTTCCTCCACTCTCATTTAAAATAAAAATTCCAACGACTACAACAGCTAAGAATCAGTGATTCTACCTAATGAGCTCAGGGAGTGAGATGAACCAGAGGATGCACCCATAGCATGGTTTAAAGGTATCAGAAAGGTGCCTGCAAAGATACTGTCCGGTCTTCCCAGAGCCCCTCAGTAGCTTTCCCTTTGCAATAGTCTGCAATAGTTATGCAATAGTCTGATTCCTTGTAGGAAGGCTGCCTTCATGTCACTGGAATCCATTGCAGGGCAGAGAACTGAGTCTGCTCACTCACACCCACCCCACAGCAGGGCAGCTCTTTAATAGCTGACAGATGTGGAAGGCTAAAGACCTCTGCTCCATCACCCTGTGGCCCGGACAACTGGAAGGCACAACCAACACTGTCCCACAGCCCCTCTGTGGGACCGAGCCCACATTGCCCTCTGAATGACTTTGTCTGACATCCATGCTTGCATTGCCTCCTTGTCTTCCCATCCCATTCCCAGGCTCTCCTACAAGTCTTCTCCTGGGAACATTTCCTAATAAACATGGAATTTTTATCTTGGGATCTGGTTTTTGGGACATGGATCTAAGATATTCTTCCTAATTCTCCACCAAAAACTGCCCTCCATGATATTTAAAATCCTTCCCTTGGATGTTTATTCCTTTTGCTTTAGGTTTGAACCCTGGTAAGCAAGTCCCCTGTGAGAGCCCCCAATTTAACAGGGTTTTCAGTATTGACAATCTAGCCTGATAACACTTCAAGCCATTTCTTAGAACAAATTTATTTTGATTGACAGCAGCTTGAAGAAAAAGAGGAGTGGAAGAAAGCTGCACAAAGAGGGTAAAAAGCAGAGAGACGATAAAGCCTCTCGGCTCTGATTTCCTTATCTGTGACGGGGGCGGGGGAGCGGTGGGGTAGATTGGTTCAGCTCTCAGGTTCCACATTCTATGAATTTGAAGGACAAGAACATGCATGGCCAACAAATTTTTATTTTGCTAGACCAAGCTGCACATAGTCCTAAGAAATCATTTTTCTCTCCTCTTTCATAGAAATAGTGCATATCTTTTGTACTTTCTAATTCTGGCTTGTTTGGTGAAAAAGAAGGTGGGTGTGAAGCGGTGATTACTTGTGACTAAGTAGATTGATTTTTAATTTGGTAGCTGTGCGCATGTGTACACAGACATGCAAGCTCCCAAAGGTAAACAATATAGCAGTTATCTTCAAATGTTGGGCTTCTGTTGAAA